GAGGGAAATACTTGGAAGCTGGGATTGTGGACCTGTATGCTTTCTTTAAGCGTGTTATGACTCTTATAGATACAGAATCATATCCATCTGGTAAGCAGAATTGAACCTCATTCTTGGTGGTGGCTTCTCGATGTGGAATTCGCATGAAGATTTGATTTTTACTTATTTGCAATTTATTTCACATATTGATTACACAGGTCTGCGACTAAAAAGCTGTTTGATTATTTTCATCTAATTTCCATGTATTTTGGTGTGCTGAAAACAAATAAAATATTGAACAAACTCCTAGACGTCATGATTTGTCACAAAATGCAAAATTGTCTTCAAATTTATCAAATGTTTTTAATTTTTGGTATTTTGTTTATATTATGGGTTTTTAACCAAATTTAAAGTCCAAATTACTATTAATTAATAACATAAGTGCATTTAAGATATAAGATGCCAAAAAAAACCTTAAAGGGGTTGTCCGAGTTATGTAAAAAAAATATAGCACTGTAAATCTGATGGTCAGCAATATACACATAAGCTAAGCAAGTTTTAGGGAAAAAAAAATTCTATTTCCTAATTTCCCTAGTTCTCTTCTGGCCCTTTGTTGTTATTTGCAGGTAAACAATCTCTGCCCCTCCCCCCCTGCAAAGGGGGTGAATACAAGTGCTGCTCTGAGTGACATGCCTGACTACTGGGATACTCAGCAGCATGCTGTATGTGTAAGACTCAGCCCTGAGTCTGTGCTTCTAATGGTAGAAGGGGTTAATCTTTCCTGAAGAATCCAGTGGGTGGGATACCAAATACCCTTGTTTTCTGTGTCTATGGGACAGTCGAGACCGACAAAATCAGTGGACCAAGAAGAGTTGGCAGCCGAGGGTGCTAACAGTTGGTGATAAAAATGTCCTCCGAGGAACTTTAGTACCTTCCCATAAAGTTCTTCTTCCACCTCTCCACATAAAATTGGGATTGATGAAGCAATTCGTAAAATCACTTCCAAGAGATGGAGAATGCTTCAAATACTTGGTCACCAAGTTTCCAGGCCTGTGGGAGGCAAAATTGAAGGAAGGTGTGTTTGTCGGACCAGACATTAGAAGGCTTATAGTTGATCAAGAGTTTGACAATACCATGACGGATCCTCAAAAAGAAAGGTGGATTGCATTTAAAGAAGTCGTACAGAAATTTTTAGGCAATAACAAAGATCCTCACTACAAAAAGATCGTCGGACGAATGCTGAAAGCATTTCAAGCTTTAGGTTGCCTGATGAGTTTGAAAGTGCATTTCCTCCAGTCCCACCTTGACTACTTTCCTGAAAATTTGGGAGCTGTGAGTGAGGAACAAGGTGAACGATTCCACCAAGACATTAAAGAAATGGAAAGGAGATACCAGGGAAAATGGAACATTACAATGATGGCAGACTACTGTTGGATGCTTCAGAGAGACATTCCAGATGCTACTCACAAGCGTAAATGCACCAAGAGGAGCCTCACAGGGAAGAAGAATCGAGTTTAGTGTGTGTAGGTGAGCTCATTTCAGTTCAAAAAAGGATTTTCATGTAGAAATTGTAAAAAATTTTTCATTTTATAGGTCTATTTCCATTTATTTTGAGGTATTGCCTTATTCAACATAGTTACTTAAATTGTCAGGAAACGTAAAGTCCTATGACAAAATGGAGGTCGTTTTCGATTCAGCGCACCAAAAAACATAAAGATTACGTGGAATAACCAAAACAGCTCTTGAAAAATATTTTTTTGCAGACCTGTGATTGGACACTTTATTTCGCTATTGTTTTATTTGGGCACTTATATGGTGTAAGATTGCTGTTGCTGTGAAAAATATCTCATAGTGTGCTTTGCTGCTTTTATTATTTTGTTTATATTCTATAAGCGCACATACTAATTTTGTTATAAGGATATATATACACTTACTGGCTACTTTATTAGGTACACCTGTTCAATTGCTTGGTAACACAAATTGCTAATCAGCTAATCACATGGCAGCAACTCAATGCATTTCGGCATCTAGACATGGTGAAGATGACTTGCTGAAGTTTAACCCAAGCATCAAAATGGGGAAGAAAGGGGATTTAAGTGACTTTTAACGTGGAATGGTTGTTGGTGCCAGATGGGTGGTCTGAGTATTTCAAAAACTGCTGACCTACTGGGATTTTCATGCACAACCATCTCTCGGGTTTACAGAGAATGGTCCGAAAAAGAGAAAACATCCAGTGAGCAGCAGTTGTGTGGACAAAAATGTCTTGTTGATGTCAGAGGTCAGAGGAGAATGGGCAGACTGGTTGCTGCAGCATTCAGATGGTAGGGTCAGAATGTGGCATAAACAACATGAAAGCATGTATCAATCCTGCCTTGTATCAACAGTTCAGGCTGGTGGTGTAATGGTGTGGGAGATATTTTCTTGGCACTAGCAGGGTATACCTAATAAAGTGGTCGCTGAGTATATGTGTGTGTATATATATATATATATATATATATATATATATATATATAAAAACATAAATAAAATTTTACAACTAGGAAACTATTTCTAAAAAAATATTTGTTGGACCAGTGTGACAAGCATTTGCACATCTTTGACTAGTTCTGACAATATTTTGCTTAATACATTGATTTTCTGTGATCATCAGCTCCATCTAGTGGCCATAATGAGGTATTGCTTCTGACTGAAGTATTTTAGGAAAAATACCACATTAAAGCCACTAGAAGGAGCTGACAATCATAAAAAAAATCACTGTATTAAATGAGAAGTACAGACAAAGCTGTTCTGGCTGTATTTTTCCTGTGGATCACAGGAGTGCAGATCATTCTTCACTCCTGTGACCCGTTTTCAGGCTGAAGCCCGCTGTCGGCTGACATCACTCAGCAGGTCCAGGCTGGAGAAAGGCTGGGTGAATTCTTGTCACATTCATCCAACTTTGTATTTTTTCTTATAATTAGACCCCTTAGCTTTATGATCATATGCAAGTGCTACAAATTGGTATGCATACACTTTAACACCTTCTATCACTACAATTCTACTAAAAGGGATTGTGCCAGGAGAAATGTACATTTTTGTTTGTGGATTTTATCTTGAAAGAATCAGAAAATGTAGTCTTCAAGTATAGCTAAACCCAAGAATAAAAATTTTATATATTGAAGTCCTTAGATACAGTTTTTTTCAGGCTAAGTACATTTTCTACAACTATACAAAAATTCCTGTTGATTCTGCCAGAAATCTAGTATCTCCTTGTGCACTGATCTCAACAAGGTTGTCAGCTTTCCAAACTATCTTCTGTAAATTACCCAGCCCCCACCTCCATATGTAAGAGACATGTAGAGGAGTAGATGTTTATAGTCCAAATCAGGGAAGCAGCCTAGGGTGACAACACTGCTCCTCTATACAGTACAAAGAGTGAGCGTTGTCACTCAGGAAGTGTGTTTCTGGCAGGATCGTTAGGGGAAAATAAAGAAAAAAACAGAAAATAAAGAAAAACTAATGCAGCCACCACCAAGAACTGGTTTTAATATGTTCTTGGGTATAGATAAAATAATTTCATGCAGACAGGACAGGCGCGACTGCCTTTATTAACATCTTAATCTAATCTTTATGTACACATGCTATGGCAGCCGAAGGGCGGATAAGAAAAACAATGAGTTCTACCATGATCAACCCAGAGAGACTGAAGCTAGCCAAGCTCCTAGTGGAGAAAGCAATTAAGGTCAGTAAAACTAGTTCAGCATACTCTAAAGTGCGGCATGATACTTATTCATCCCCCGTTCCTAAAGAATTAATTAAATCTTTAGGGTTTAATATATATGAGGCGTGACACAAGGGCCAAGCTGGAAGCCCAAATGAACTGTCATTGTAAATCAGTTAAATATGTTCCAAGCAAAGGCTATGGGGTGTATTTATAACAAAAACAATTGTAGACATCTTCTTCCTGTGAAAGAGCATGTACATTCCTTCTGTGCAAATTGGGACAAAAATTCATGTAATTAGGATATTTTTTCCCCAAGTTGAGTGTTATTCTTCATACAGAATAGATTGATTTAGGAATATACTGCATTATGGCCACTAGATGGAGCTAAGTGTTTATTTCCTATGATTATCAACCCCATCTAGTGGCCATAGATGCCTTCATCTGCATCTTTTTAGAAATACAGGACAATCTTTGTTCAGGTATCAATTCAGGGTCCATGCACTCTGGCTTAACAACCTCCAGAGGATTTACCCCCTTCCTGACCAGGCCATTTTTTGCATTAAGGCGCTGCGTTACTTTAACTGACAATTGCGCGGTCATGCAATGCTGCACCCAAATTAAATTTTTGTCCCTTTATTCCCACAAATAGAGTTTTCTTTCGGTGGTATTTGATCACCTCTGCGTTTGTTTTTACAACTACAAACAAATGTACTACAAAAAAAAAAAAAAGACAATTTTAAAAATAAAAACAATATTTTTTACTTTTTGCTATTAAACATATCCAAAAAAAAAAATAAATAAATAAAATTTTGTCATAAATTTAGGCCAAAATGTATTCTGCTCTATGTCTTTGTTAAAAAAAAATCCCAATACGTGTAAATTAATTGGTCTACGTGAAAGTTATAGCGTCTACAAATGGCGGTATATATACTGGAATTTTTTTTATTACTAGTAATGGTGGCGATCAGCGACTTATAGCGGGACTGCGGTGGGCATTCTGACACTGTGGGGAAACTAACTGCCACTGACGTCCCCAGTGATACTAATACAGTGATCAGTGTTAATAAAAAGCACTGACACTGTACTAATGATACTGGGCAGGAAGGGGTTAACTTCTGGGGCGATCAAAGGGTTAACTGCGTGCTGTGTGTGTTTTACTAGGGAGACAAGCTGCTTTGTATTGCTGAGCAGAGCAATACAAAGTAGCATGCCAGTGCTGACAGGGGAGAGATCTGTGTTGTTCACATACAGACTTCTCCACTGTCAGTTCCACCAACGATCACCAAGTCCTGGTCGAGAATAGGCGTCCGGGACCCGGTGATTGACATGCCGAGGAGCCAATAGCGGAGCGGGTAGGGAGCCAGATATAGTGAATGCAGTGTCCTGGGAAACCAGATATAGTGAATGCAGGGTCCAGAGAGACCAGATATAGTAAATGCAGGGTCCGGTGAGACCAGATATAATGAATGCAGGGTCCTGGAAGACCAGATATAGTGACTGCAGGGTCCTGGGAGACCAGATATAGTGACTGCAGAGTCCAGGGAGACCAGATATACTGACTTCAGGGTCCGGGGAGACCGGATATAGTGAATGCAGGGTCCGGGGAGACCGGATATAGTGAATGCAGGGTCCGGGGAGACCAGATATAGTGAATGCAGGGTCCGGGGAGACCGGATATAGTGAATGCAGGGTCCGGGGAGACCGGATATAGAGAATGCAGGGTCCGGGGAGACCAGATATTGTAAATGCAGGGTCTGGGGAGACCAGATATAGTTAATGTAGGGTCCGGGGAGACTGGATATAGTTAATGCAGGGTCCGGGGAGACTGGATATAGTGAATGCAGGGTCCGGGGAGACCAGATATAGTGAATGCAGGGTCCGGGGAGACCAGATATAGTGAATGCAGGGTCAAAGGAGACCAGATATAGTGAATGCAGCGTCTGGGGAGACCAGATATAGTGGATGCAGGGTCCGGGGAGACCAGATATAGTGAATGCAGGGTCCTGGGTTTTGTAACACTTTAATAATACTGTTTTCTTCCCATCCCTGTTACCCAGCAAAAAAAAGATATTCAGCATCCATGGTCCATACCCCGTCATACACAGCTGTCTGCACACCCGTGGATACGTGGAGAAGAAACTGCCCAAGGTGGCCAAAGCAGCGCAGGAAAAATAGAAATCAGCAGATGAGGAGACAGAGGAGGATGATGGCGATGGAAGCGGCCATGATGATAATGGCATTAAAAATGGCAGAACATTGGCTTCATATAGACATGACTAGGGCGTCTCCATGCTAGAGCTGTATGCTTTTCTGCTCCTTGCTGCAAATGGAACTAAATCGATTTCCTGGTAATGTAAGGAAGAGGAAAAGAATATTTGGCAGCATGGCATAAACTGCACTTCTATGTAAGACTCACTACAATGACACCTTCTTTATGATGCTTAAACAGTCCTTATATATGGTGGCTGCATTTGTTTTCTTTGTCTAATGTCTTTTCTACCGTTATTTTCACCTGGTGATCCTGAGACTAACATACTTCTTGCCCCTCCATGGCTACACTCACTTCTCCATTGTATCTATGCAGGGAGCCCTAGGCTGGACTTTAGGTCTGCCTTTGTGCCTCTCCACTACATGGGAGGGTGATGGGTTTACAAAACAAAGATATGATTGTTTTGCTGTCCGTTCAGCTCACAGAAAGTGATAAGAACACTGCATTTCTGGCAGCATCAACAGGGATTTTCTGTAAATCCTTACATATACCCTACATGCTTCTTGTCAGCTCATGAACTGATTGGCCGCTTGTGCTGGTTCTTCCTCTCATACTTCAGTCCAGCTGTACAGGGACTGCAAGAAGTTGATGCCAAGTCACAGTCAGGTATTTGCATTTAAAAAATAAATTTAAAGTGGTTGTAAACTCTTATATACCCAGTGAAGTGACTGGCTTCAGGTGATACAGAGATGAAACAAATCCTCCTACATAAGTTGTACCTGTTTATCTGTAGCTGTTCTCTCTACAGTCATTCTCTACATCCGTTACAAAGCTTGTCTGAGAGTTCAGAAAGCAGGGGGCACACAGCGGAAGTTACACTATGCAGAGCTCAGTGAGGAAAGCTCTGAGAGCTGATTGGAGGGAAGAGACACACCCCCCTTCACACAGCTCACAGGAATAGAGCTGAGACTGTCAATCAGCTGGTGCTCCCTCCCGTCATCATTTTTTTTCGTGATGTCAGGAAAACTTGTCAGCAGTGATTTATGCTGACAGCAGATGAATGAGGCAGCAGACAGAAATGACACTTAGTTCTCTGGATTGAGATAAGTACACACTATAGAGGGAATGCTTTGTTCATATTTCATGTCTGAGGTTTGTAACCACTTTGGGTTAGCAATAGTCGGACACCAGTAACAAAGTCAGGCATGGAGACAGAGGGTCATTTCCCAGGAAAATCCGGTGTTACCCACAGACACACTTTAGTTGGTTCTTCTTCTATTATCATTCAGTGAGCGGGCATACATCTGCTGATAAGGTGGACCGTGGAAGCCTACGATACACCACCACACACCATGAAGGGGAAGGTACCAGGAACTTACAATAAAGTCATTTGGAAAAAAATGGTAAAGAAGTTATGAAAGTTAATGTCATTTCCCCAAAACGCCCAGATGAGCAATGCTGAATGGCTGGTAGATGTAATGGTGAAATCATGTTTTATTTCCTAATCAGATGACGAAGGTGAAGAGGAGGACGAAAGAAATGATAATCCTGATGGCACCTATGACCTTATGGCAAGTATCGAATCAGTCAATAACCCATTCCTTTACAGTCCATTCTGTTTAATTTTATTCTTTTATTCTATATTTTATTCTGTTCTGTACTATTCTATTCATTTTGTATTCATTCGTTAAGTTAGGTTATGTTAGAATGATTCGCTTTTGGAATTCGTATATTTGGATTTGCTTCGTTTGTCCAGCAAGGACAGTGTTTGCTTTAGCCGCATTTCACACCTGAGCAATTTGAAGCACATCAATGCTTTGCATGAGGATTCCCCATGTATAGTATCCTATCGTACCCTTTAACATCTGAGCAGTGTTTTGCTTGAAGCTTGTCCTTCAAAGCTTGAAAAAAAAACCATGAACTTCTTTGGGCAAGAGTTGCATAATTTTTTCCCCTATAGGTGTCAATGGGAGTGCCTGAAAAAAAGGCCTAAAAATGTGCACTTTCTTGCCTCTAGGGATGTGCATAATGGAAAAATCTGTTTAGTTTCGGATTCATTCATTGACACCCCCCCGTCACATCAAACCCGACTTTGCAATCGTGCGACTAACAGTGAAGTTGCACGACTTCAAAGTCGGGGGACATGCCGATTTCAGGTGCGATTTGCAAGACTTCTGACACAGATGTCTATGCAAATGGCACGAACAGTAGCGCATGTACTACTTTAGAAATCGGTGCGGCTCCGACCAAGTCGGAACCGCACCGATTTGACCGCTGTGATTGCGGACAATAGGGTGTGACTTGGCATACGATTTACAAGTCGTATGGCATGCAATCGCATGCCAAGTCGCACCCGATGTGACCGGGTTGTAAAGCATCCAAAAACTGTAGCTGCTGACTTTTAAAATACAGACACTTACCTGTCCCTGGGTCCAGCGGGGTCCTCACCATGGCTGGTTTCAAGGGCCGTCTTCTCTCCCTGGCACCGGCATCTTCAGTGTGGGCACCCGGCTGTGACAGCTTGAGACTTCACAGCTGGGTGCCCACTGTGCATGGGCGAGAAGCGCTGCGTTTTGTGAATGACCCCGTAGTCTTCTGGGAACTGTCACGTGTCCCAGAAGATTACAGGGAGAAAGGGGGAGGACAACTTCCGCTTCCGATCGCCTAGGTGATTGCAGTGGACGTGGGAGTGGGTACCTGTCAATTCGAGTACCCGCTCCCCCCCCCACACTCCCCAAAGGTGCCAATCCTTAATGGGGGGAGGAGGACAAAGGCTTACAGCGGAATTTCCACTTTTGAGTGGAGCTCCGCTTTAAGTTAATCATTTAGTTTCGTCATACATGTTAAGTTAGAATGGTTTGCTTTCGAAATTTGTTTAGTATATTCAGATTTGTTTCGTATATTCGTTATTTTCAAATTGTTTCGAATTTCAGAAGACAGATATATTAATTCTATTTTAATCTATTCTATTTTTTCTATTCTATTCTTTTATAGTTTTTATTCTATTCTATTCTTATTTTCTATTTTATTCCATTCTTTCATATTCTATTCTGTTATTTCTATTCTATTTTATTTTTTTTTTCTTTCCATTCTATTCTATTTTATTCCTTTACATTCTATTCTGTTTTCTGTTATTCTTTTATTCTATATTCTATTCCATTGTTTTTGTATTATTCGTTAAGTTAGGTTATGTTAGAATGATTCACTTTCGGAATTTGTATATTTGGATTTGTTTCGTTTATTCATTATTTTCAAATCTATTCAACATTTGAATTTTGGAAGACAGCTATATTCATTCTATTTTATTCTATTATATTCTAATCTATTCTAATTTTTTCTTTTATATCATAGTTTGTTCTATTCTACTCTATTCTATTCAATTATTTTCTATTTCTCTTCTATTTTATTGTATTCTTTTATTTTCTATTCTGAAAAGAAAAAAACACAGGCTGGTTGCACTGAAGTCAATCAATAGATAGCTCGACTTCAGTTCTACCAGTCTGATCATAGATGGATTGAAATTCGTCCGGTTCCTGCTGAATCACCTGGGTTTAGATTTGTCTATGGCTGGCTTAAATGCGGCCTATAAACTGTTCAGATGTCATAACAGTGTCTCAGTCTATAATTATATAAATTTTAAAACTTAAAAAAAAACCCTTGTGTATGGACTTGTAACCGATACAAAAGTAAAAAAGAAAAACGACTGGGAATTTTAGGGCCGGTTCACACCTGAATCGCACACATTCCTACGCTATTCAGAATGGTGCGAGTTTCAGCTTATTCATTTGAATAGGCTGCAATTGCACTAGATTGCACATAAAGTAAAGCGTGCACTACTTTTCAAAAACACACAGCACTGCGGTACCATGCGATCTGGTGCAGGCAAATGCACTGCGTTTGCAATCTGTTTGGGGTGCCATTAACAAATTATTGGCACCCACAGCAGATCAGTGGGTTTTGGATGCGGTGCGAGAAACGTGCACGGAACGAGAAAGCAAGGGGCTTTATGAGGAGAAAGAGGAAAACGGACAGCTAGGAACCCAGATTATGGACCTGTCAGCATACCCATCGACACTAGAGTGTATGGTTGTACCTACACTGTGTCAAACAAAACACCCAAGATTCTGGGTCAGAGCAGCTGCCATCTAGTAAATTCCTGCAAGCCAGAGGCGTAACTACAACCTTCAGGGCCCTGGTGCAAAAAACCATGAAGGATCCCCCTGATCCGAGCCTGGGGCCCTTTATTATGGTACTGCAGCGGGGCCCTCTCACATGTTCTGCAGCGTGCCCCCTTCCTGTCACTACATTAGAATCCCCTCATACATCAGAGTTCCCAGCCTTTCGCAGAGACCCTTTACATCAGAGTTCCCCTTTACAGTACATCAGAGTCAGGATACAAGGATTTGCCTTATAGTGCAAGGAGAAACTCTACCCTGGACCCGATGTAAAGGGGAACTCTGCCCTGATGACCCTGATGTAAAGGGGAACTCTCCAGACCCCCTGATGTAAAGGGGAACTCTCC